TAATTTTCTTTTCTCTCAACATGGAAAACTAGTTTCATTGAAAAAATAAAATAAAAAATGAAACAATAACATTTTTTTTAATGAAACTATTTACCAAAATCTATATATATATATATATATATTTTAAATATGTGAAACACACAGTAAACCAATTAAGAATAGCCCTTTCAAATTTTGATACAATTATTTTCAAGTTTAATTACTCTGTAAATGAAAATGTTTTTTTTTAGTCATTTCACAAATCAACTAAGAGGAAACTGATAAAATCAATTAAAAAATTAACACCATTTCAAATGTAATTTACCCTTATAATCAATCATAGAATACATTTTGTTACACATACCTTATCAAACATGGAACTTACAGACTGAATTATTAACAAAAGCTCCCATTAGTTGGGAAAGAAGAAAAAAAAAAAAAAACATGAAAAAAACAGATGAGTTAGCTAAACTGTGTTATATATGTTTGTGAACTTTCTCACTTACTACAATTAATTTTGATGGTTAAAATTGGCTGTGATATCATACAGCATAGGTAGCCTAGGCAACGGTCTCATTGAAGGCGGTGTCCAAAATGTGACGGTAACAGGGGTTGTTTTCACCGGAACTCAGAATGGGGTGCGCATAAAGACATGGGCGAGACCAAGCAATGGATTTGCAAGAGACATAGAGTTTAGAAATGTGAGAATGAAGAATGTCGGTAACCCTATCATCATCGATCAAGAATATTGCCCTAATAACCAGTGTCCTACTATGGTAACCACTCTTAATCTCCAAAACTATCACCTTCTAATTTCAAAAAATTTATAAATAAAAATTGTTATGTATAGATAGGATTTATTATCTATGTAGTCACACCTCACAAAATATAAAAATGTAGTTACTCACTTGGCTTCATTTGGCTAAGGTTTTTTTTTTTTTTTTGAATTTTTAGAAATTATTTATACCCACTAAAGATAAAATTATGTAAAATTGATAAATCATTTAAACATTTATTTATTTTACCAAATTAATTATTATTATGTGTTTGAACGATGATCATGTAATGGGTGGTTGTCTTTATTTTCATTAAATTAGTTTCTATTTTTTCCAAAGTCAAATATGGCAACAACTTTGATATCATTATTAAATTAATTCATTAAATTAAAAAAATCAAAACTAAAAGCATTTCATATATTGAATATATCCATTACACATTAAAAGCCTAACAACCACTCATTACATGATTATCATGTAAACACATGATAAAGACTAATTTGGTAAAAAAAAAATAAAATAACAATCTAAAAGATTTATCAATTTTACGTAATTTTATCTTCTGTGGGTAAAAATTATTTTTAAAAATTCAAAAATATCTTTTTGATTTGTCAAATTAGTTTATATTTAAAGGAAGGTCGATAACAAACCCAACATGGCCTTTGTATTTTTATTTTGCTTTTATTTATTTATTTATAATTTTTTTCAAAACCACGTTTATGAAGAAATTTTGATAAAATAAAGATTGTGAAGAAAAATTAATAAAGGGTAAGATTGAAAAAGAAGATAAATATAGTTATTATCCTACATTCATATGTTTTCTTATCCAATGCAAATCAAACAATGGATAAGGAGATAATTTATCTTATTAATCTAATTAGATAGTAAATATCACACTAATTTAATAAAATTATTAATATATTTACTATCAGTCTTGAATCAAACATGACCATAAGTACAACCACGAAAGCAGACTACTTGAATCACATGTCCTATATCCAAAAAATGCAAAAAGTGAAATAAAATGTTAGGCAAGGCTCACTTGCCACACTGCTTATTGAATGTACAAAATATAAGCAAGTGTATCATATGAAAATCTTAAGGGGTCAATAAAAGTGTCTATGTTTATATATCTCTAATCTAGTGCCCTAACCCCTAATTGGACTCCCTAGTGGAAGAAATAATTGCCAATTCTCTTACCCTGCCCTCGTGATCTCAACTATAAATAAGGGATTTCATTTGTGAACTTTCCATCTGAAAATTTTCTCCTCATTCATCATCTTCAGAAACTATACCTCTCTTAGATTGTCAACTTGTCTAAAGAAATGGGTTTTGCACCTAAAAGCTATTGCTCTCTTCTTTATGTCCTGGTGCTTTTGCCAGCACTTTGTTACTCCCAGGACACTTTTGTGTCCTCTAGAGCAACCTATTATGGCAGCCCTGATTGCTTGGGGACTCCAAGTATGTACACACCCAAGCCTCTCTCTCTCTTTCTATATGTGTGTGTGGTTGTGCTTGTTACTTACCATTTATGCTCTCTCTCTCTCCTCCTCTTCCTTCTTCTTCTTCTTCTTCTTCTTCTTCTATTCTTGAACTCTATCTTTCTATCTCTCTTTCTTTTTCTTATGATGCTTTGTTCTTCCAATAGTAAAATTTTACTCTGGTTCATAACACAACATTCTCAATTTAAACCATCATCGCAGCTTGTTTCAGAGTAAAATTTTACTTTGAATCACATTAAATTTTATTTTGATTTAGAGTAAAATTTTACTTTGTAATAAATATATATATATTTTTTACTCTGAATCAGAGTAACATTTACTT